AGGCAGCACATCATAACCAGATGGCCCTGGCCCCCTCTCTGCATCCGACACAGAGCCCTCGTCCGAGTCTTCCCCAGACTTCAGGACTGGCCCATGTTCCTCCCCAACCTCTTCACTGCCTGACTCTGCTGCCAGCTCCGCAGGCGACCGGTGGACCACAACAATGTGGCTAGGGTCTAAGTCAACCCATCACAGCCAATTGGTCATGTCCAACTTCCATGGGACAACTAGCCATAGCCAACTCGTAGTGGGACAACTCTCTGCAGGTCAATTCAGTGCTATATTAATCATTTCATTCAGTTACTTTTAACTATTGTAATTCTTGTATTTCTGTCTTGATTTTATTTTTGTTATTATTGGCCATGGTTCCATCAAAATTAATGTAACTTTTGTATTGGTTGAGTTGTCCATAGCAAGTTGGCTGTGGTGAGAGGACCTGTGGCGAGTTGTCCATGGTGAGTTGTCCCATTCCGACATGGCTGTGCTGATTTTGCACACGGACACACTTTCTTGTCACATGTCGAATCTTGGGAATTTTGAGTGAGGGAAAGAGGGTGTCTGCTTGAAAGTGGCATGACTTTGAATGAAATAACCAAACCAATAGAACATGTTTGGCTTTTGTAGAACAATCACCCCAGAGCAGTGGGACCAGTTCAGCCAATACAACAAGGATCGGGCAGAGGCAGAAATGAAAGCTGCCACAGAGTTGAGAGAGGCCATCGCTCTCACCATTGCACAGGTTAATAATAGTTTTGCTTCTAGATAACTTAACAGCAAGCAAATTGTTTCAACCACTTCATAATAGTAATAATAATAAGAGCTTGTTGATTAGTCACTAGGTCACATCAGAATACAACATACAGAACAATAATAAGACCATGTGTAGCAAAGTAGAGTAAAAGCAGAAGTAAAAGGAAATACAAATCTTATTTAGAAGAAGTCACTTAGAATAACAGAGTTGGAAGGTCTTCTAGTCCAACATAGATATCCAACATCTTCTTAAAAATGTCCAGTGTTGGAGCATTTACAACTTCTGGAGGCAAGTTGTTCCACTGATTAATTGTTCTAACTGTCAGGAAATTTTTCCTTAGTTCTAAGTTGCTTCTCTCCTTCATTAGTTTCAACCCATTGCTTCTTGGCCTGTTTTCAAGTGCTTTGGAGAATGGTTTAACTCCCTCTTCTTTGTGACAACCCCTGAGATATCAGAATATATTTCTGTGTCCTCCTCCTGCAATTCACTCCAATCAGATTCATACTTGCCTCCAGATCTTAGTTGTACTGTTTTGCTCAGAAAAAGGGTCGCGTTATGGATAACATTTAGGTTCTGATTAGACATGAAATACAGGTAGTCCTCAAGTTATGACCATTCATGTATGGATCATTCCAAGT